GTCGGACGCTTAACTGACTGAGCCACCCAGGTGCCCCAATAAATAAATAAACTTTTAAAACCATCTGGAAGGACTTTTAAATTCTTAAAAATCCCAATATACATTGGCCCTGTTAGGGTTCTTAAGTGTTTATTTCTTCTTGTATCACTCCCTAAGGAGAAGCATTCTCTCAGCTTATCGATTGTGTAACTTATTCACACTAAAACTAGATTTAGGGTAGGTCTTAGGTTTAATGTTTTATAAGGAGGAATATTGGTCATGGTCTTTCCAGACCCTACTTCCAGTATTTATCCTTTTGTCATGGAGTACCTCATTCCTGTCTCCTAACATGTCTGCCAAATTTGGTTACTGTTCTCTGTATCTCCTCAGAGGCCAATCTACTCAGGAAAATCAGAACCAGATGAGAGAAAGGAAAGGTAAGTTATACTGAGAGCAAAAAAAGAAGGAATCATGTAGCGCTTCCATAATCACTAGTAATCATGTAGTAATTCCATAAGAGGGAATTAGTGGGATTCGTGTAGAGGGTGTATTTCCTGATCTCCCACTCTGGCACATTGTCTCTCTCCTCTACACACACACACCCGTGGGCCCACATCCCCCTACTCTCCACACACAGGCAGAGATTTTTGTGAAGTCTGTGCAGTGTTACATGGCCCTGGCCCAGCTCCTGGTGGAGCAGAACTTCCCAGCCATTGCTATCCACTGTGGGACATCCTGGGAGGAGAGGTGAGTCAGAGATGGAAAGATGTTTTGTGTCCTTGGGATGACATGAGACCCCTGAGAGAAAGGACTGTGAACATTTTTCTAATTTTCATTCTGACAAAGCCTTTCTTGGTGTCCATAGTTTAAAGACCTTTCATGATGAATTCTTGTGGCCACCAACCTATTTGGCCGAGGCATGGACATTGAGCAGGTAAACACTGCCATCAACTGCCACCTGCCTGAGGAATCCCACACCTACCTGGATCAGGTAAGCTGCACACCCACACAGGCATCCCAGTGTCCCCTCCCACCCTCTGATTTCCTATGTCTTCGTACATTACACCCTCGTCCCTCCTTTTGGGTGTCTTCCTACTTTGGGGTCTTCCAGTGCTACCCTCTGTCTCCTTGCAGGAGGCCTGAGCAGGCCAGTTCGCCCAAGGGCTTGGCCATTACATTTGTGTCAAGTGAAAACAATGCCAAGATCCTCAATGAGGTGCAGGGTCACATTGAGGTCAGTCGTAGTGAGCTGCCTGATGAGATGGATATTTCCTCCTGATGAGATGGATATTTCCTCCTCCCGTGAGTATTGATCTCATGAAACTGGTTCCTACAAGTCTTCAGAGTCTCCTCATTCCTCAGTGACTTTGTCTTGAAACAAAGTGCAGGCAGTGGTGCCTGATGCCTAATGGGTGCCTGACAAGTTTATGCCCTGATCTTGATGCCATGTTGGGATATTTTGTTTATTTCTATGTGGGATCTCTTTCCTCTCTCGTCCAATTAATTTTCTTTTTTGCACCTCAGTCTTTCCCCTGACCCCACACCCCACATGAACATCTGCATGTATAGGGGTCTGTGATTCTGCCGGTCTAACTTAGCCTTTCCATGCCTTATTGTAACTGTTCTCTGCAGTTGCAGCCATGGGAGAGGACGCACCCATTCGAAGAGCCTGATGGAGGTCTCACACCCACAAACCATGAGATCATGCATGACCTCAGCTGAAATCAAGAGTCGGATGCCCACCCGACTGACCCACCCAGGCACTCCTAGAGTTTATTCTTCCTAATTAATTTCTTTTTAAAGATATTTTAAATTTGAATATAGTTGACACACAAGATTACATTAGTTTTGGGTGTACAACCCATGACTCAGCTTCTGTATACATTTTTTTTTTTTTTTTTAGAGAGAGGCAGCCAGAGCAGGGAAGAGAGGTAGAGGGAGAGAGAGAGAGAGAGAGAAAGACAGAGAATCTCAAGCCGGTTCAGTCCCGTGGGGCTTGATTCCATGACCTGGGATCATGACTGGAGAAACTACAGAGCCACCCAGAGGCCCTTCACTTTCTGTCTACACCATGCTGTGCTCACCAGAGTGTAGCTGCCATCTGTCACCACACAATGATGTTATAGTCTCACTGACGATATTCCCTGTGCTGTGCCTTTTATTCCTATGACCTGTTCCTTCCATACCTGGAGCCTGTGTCTCCCACTCCCCTCACCCACTGTGCCCATCCTCCCAACCCCTTCCCTCTGGCAGTCATCAGTTTGTTCTCTGTATTTATAGGTCTGATTTTGCTGTTTGTTTCTTTACTCATTTATTTTGTTTTTTTAGATTACACATATGAGTGAAATCATATGGTACTTGTCTATCTCAGTCTGATTCATTTCACTTAGCAGACATACTGCCCTGTTTGTCCATCCATGTTGTCACAAGTGGCAGCACATATTTATATGTATGTGTACATACCACACATCTTCCTTATCCATTTGTCTATGGGTGGACACAGGTTCTATCAGTATGGCTTCTGAAAAAAAAAAAAAAAAAAAAACACCTCACACTCTTAACATCATCTGGGATGAGGGCGCCCCCTGGTGTCTGGGTCTCTGTCCAGGTGCTGGAGATGAAGGAGACCCTAGGGAGGGCCTGGTTGAGGAGAAAGGCAGCTGGGTCTTCTCTCCTTAGTCCTGTGGCCGCACGTGGGGTGGAAGGTAAGGGGACACCCCCTCCCTCACCCCACTGCTCTGCTCTCAGGTGGATTCTGACTGAGAAGCCTGAGTGGGGTCTGGACTGTAAGTCAGGTAGACATGTCTGAGCAGAAGCCTGGGCATCAGTGGGAAGAGGAAGAAGCTTCTGAGCAGCCCTGGACTCCACAGGGGTCAGGCTCAGGGGTGAGGCAGGATTGCAGGAGAAGAGAGCTCAGGAGCCGGTGCCATTGCTGAGGTTTCTGTGTCCCTGTGCACCTCCTCCTCCAGCCCCTTGATGGAAATAACAGGGAAAATCTCTCAGACCTTCCTTTGCTTGTGTACTCTCTGTCTTTCAAATAAATAAACTAAAAAAAAAAAAAAAAGAATTGATGTTTTCATTTTCTTTGAGTACATACTCAAGAGTGCAATTATTGGATTATATGACAAGTCACTATGTTGTAAACCTGAAAGGAATGGAAGAGTGTGTGTAAGCTGCACTCAAATAATAAGAAAAGAAAAAAGAAAAAGATAATTATAAATATTAGAGAACAATTTGGAAAGGAAGGCACAAAACGTCACACACTATATTGATAATAAGTAAATACAAACAAAAATGAGAATGTGGAATAAAAAATGGGAATAAACCTTGGTATCTTCAACTTGGCAAAGATGAAAGTAGGTTAGTTATGAGAGTGTCCAGCAGAGGGTGGGGAAAATATACCATCATAAAGAGCAATGGGAGTGAAT